CAGGATATCGGGAAGGAAGCAGGCGAGGGAGAGTGTTAGATTGATCTGTAGTGGGTAAGTCCGTCCTAAACAGGGACAACAGTTGGGAGCGGAGAGGTGAGTAGAGCTTGGAGCAGAAGAGTAATTAACGAGAACCTGAGTTAGCCTCTTGTAAAGTCTGGTGGGGGGAATTGCAAGAAGGTGGCAAGTTGAAGCCCAGATTTTGACAAGTATCGTGAGGATATGCCGTAGTCGGAGGGAAGTATAAAAGATAGAATGTGAGTCTTAAGACTAAGATGCTGAACGTTACATTATGATATTTCTTTCCACAAAAAGAAACCATTCACAGAACCTGTTTTTAAACCTATCTAGGGCGGCAATTCCAAAGGTAATACATTTTGATCCAAAGGGTTTTCTTAAGGCCTTTCAAGAAAATGATCGGAGGCCAAGTCCCAGGCCCATGTAGGTGAGACAAGACCCTTCCTTCTCGATAATGCCACCAAAAAGGCAGCAGTGATGTGCCAGCTCCTTGTCTGTGGTACTGGGGGAAGAATCTGTACCTCCCTCAAACCAAGTTCCGATAGCAAGTATGCAGTTGGAACAGCCGTCTCGCTCCCTCTTGATGGTTGAATCCTGTGAACCTCTGCAGCCAGTGTTCCAGTACCTAAGAGTACAATGATGTCTTGGGTTAGATTCAAAAGAGCGAACATTTCTGAGAATAGTTGAATCAACTCTCTGCCATAAGCTGGCATGAGACGAATGAAAAGAAAGCAGATGACAGGTGGAGGGCTTCATCCCACAGACATAGTGTGGGATGGAGGCGGTGGGGTTGTGAGGGCAGTGCGCTGAAGTGGGGAACCTGGTGTTGCTGCGGTCGTCAATGCCTCCTTGAGCTAAAGTGCTGGTTCGTGGCGCTCGGGGCCCAAACCTGAGAAAGGGTCAGCTGGGACTAAAGTAGCCAGAAAATACATTTTAACTTCAAGGCCTGTTATTGGGTAATCTTGAATGTGGTGAATCAAACACTATTGTTGCAATCACTATAAGGAATCTAATACTATTCCTTACTGATAATTTAAAGTAAACCTCTGTCTGATGCTTGAAAAATTATATTAAGTGGGGCGTGTCGCGGCTATCAGACAAGGAAACAGAAGACTGATTTGCATGACCAAAACAATTATATAATTCCGTTTACAAGAGGCTTAAACACTGCAGGAATCCTTAAAAAGCTCTTGGTGAATACTAGTGAACCTTGGCCTTTAAACTGCATGTGTGAGGCACCCTGGCTTAGGATGCATCCAGAATTAGAAAACATGCAAATCAACGACCTGGCAAAGAAACAGTGCTACACTCTCATTCAGCACTACTGGCCACTAACTGCGTGAGCTTTTATCGTTACTCTGCTGAAAGGTTTGGTGGGTCAGGCCTGGTGTGCTCATCTTGCCTGTGCCAAATGGTCGGTGTTCACAGTCGCAATCCCCAGACTAGAGCCAATACTGGAGCCAAATGCCTGTGCCCAGGGGACCTGAAAAGTAACATAAGATGCAGTCATTTCTAATCCATGACCGGACGTCATCCCATGTGGTTAAACGCTTTACAACATGCTTTTGTCAAGTGTTTTCTTTCTGAAGTTCAGGATCAAAACCCCAAGCTTAATGCCTTAGGTGCTCCAGGCTAGAGTAGTGAATTTCAATGGAGTCCTGACTTAGAACATGTACATGTGCTGTGGATTGTTTATAAATGAACACATTTATAAAAAAAAGGGCATATTACCAGAGTCCAGTGCTAAGGAAGCTGCGAGGACAGGCTCCAATGCTCCCCAATTGCCCCCAAATGTGTACTGGGGTTGGGTTGGTGAGGGGGGGAAGGCTTTAGCCGGGGACTGGGATTTACTGAAAGCTGAGCTCAGTGAAGGTTGGTGAGCCCTGCATGCTCTGAGTGTTGGGAGGTGGGCTGTGGCCCCCCAGATTCCAGGGACCCCATGCCGGAAGAGAGATCCATCGTAGAAATAAGAAAGACCATTAATATTATTTTAGATTTATTCAGATCCGTTTTGTCCAACAATAATTTCCAATATGAAAAAGCATTACAAAGTGTTGCATTAGCACTGTCTATTTGAAGTGTACCTGTACAGGTGGAGATGGCATCCAGGCTGCGGTGATGGGGCCGTCCCTTTGGCATCACCCCGGTGGAGGTTGCCGTGCTTTATATTCTTAATTGCTGCAGTTGGCACCATGGTTAGGATAGTTTCTGACAGCTCCTGGGACACGTTCCCTGAGGAAAATGGTGAACAAATAGTCGACATAATTTAGATAATATTGTGAATTGGTGTCCTATAAAACAGTGTTTTCATATGTTTTTGTTGAGCGTTGAAATGCCAATTTGGAGTGAGACAAAACAATTATTAAAGGCCCAAAAATCAACAGTTTTCTAAAAGCAAGAAAGTGATAGAGCTAGAGCCTATGTGCCTCCTCACCCCGCACAGGACTGCAGGCAGGCCAGCAATTGTGGCTAAGGCTCAGGGCAGCTGGCCGCTTTTGGCCTGGTCCTTGTCCGGGTGCCAGACCCCCATGGAGATGGTTATGGGCAGCGCCTCTTCAGGAGATGTCACACATGCCTGGATAAAAGTTCCTGACAAAACACACAAAAGGATTGTAAACACAAAGACAGAACAAGAACCCCAACAATCTTTATGTTACATTTAAAACAACCTCTACTTTAATCCAATTGAAGATTACCCCGTGCTCTCGGATTTGTCAGTCAGCATGTTATCAAGGTTTGAGGTATTCACGACCGAGAAGACAGTGCAGCAAGTCAATAACAAAAGCAAATGGGAGTACCATTCAGCAACATCGGACAGAGACTGAGAGGGCATAAAAAACAAAAAACACTGCCTATTTACCATGAATAATATACCTACGACAAGCACAGAAAACATGCCTGGATTCCTTTAATGTCTTATTTTAAATGTTGTGTTAAAACTGTGGGGAAATAAAACAATACGGAGAAAATTAGTGGAATGAAAAGAGTCATTATTCTGCTATTGGCTTAAAGGCTAATTTAAGGAGAAGTCCAAAGTCGGTGATCATTTAGTATTTTCCTGACAAACCTTCAAGTCTGGGCCCACATCAAGGATGCGTGACAGCTTGGCCTGGGTCATGTCACTGCTCCCTCCCTGCAGTGTAACCACTCTGCCATTGAATGCATAAATAAGCTACGGATAGAGGGAGCTGTCCCTGGAAAAAAAACGCCAGTTTTAAATGAGTATACATAAATCAGGAAACAAAATAACCAGGAGAGCTAAGCAGAAGGACCAAGCATACCCATTTGGACTTTGAGATCAGAGAGCTGTATCACCAACCTGTCCGTGTCCAAAGGCTAGTGCAGGAATGATGGCGCAGATTAGGGTGGTTGCAGGAAGATAGGCATCAAGGGTGAGATGAGCTTCATGGCGCAGTGTGTGCCAGGAAGGGAGATCTGCAGCAATTGCCAGCAACCAACATGTCTGGGCCAGCTGCTTGATGGGAAAGCTGAACAGCTGCTTCACCTGCTCGTACTGGCCCACCTGCCGACAGCCTCAGCAGGCTCTCCACCAGGTCCAGACCTTTTCCCTGTATGGATGAAGCAGAAAATCGTCGAAAACACTAGATCACATTAGCCCGCTTTTTCACACCAACACTTAAGTCCCCAGCACTTTAGTTCCCCGCACTTAGTTCCCCCATGGAACTAAAGAGCAGATCACGTTCACACCGGAATAAGTTCCCTGGGGATGGATTACGCAAATGAAGCCACTGTCGTCACTTCTTCTTCTTCGGGTTTACTGGAAGGCCGCAAACCACTTCACTGCATATACTGCCACCCGAAGTCCACGGCCGGAAGTCCCCGGAGTTGGGGGCTGACTTCAGTAGAAGCCTTGCGAGTAAATCGCCAGAATGCCGACACCTCCTCATCACTCCACCGCTCCCATGTTTTTTTTTGTGTAGTCATAAGTTAGTCTCTCTCCGTTGGTGCGCTAATGTTAAGGCTAATAATGCTAATGCCAGCAAATACAATGGCGGCTTCACAAAACTTTTCAGAGTTTTACGGGTCGTGGTTTGCAATTCCAGCCAATCAGAAATTGGAACCTTTTTCTCCCCAGGAAAGTACCTGCTCTCTAGCAGGGACTGAAAAGGGGTAAAAAGTTCTCATGAACTAAGTTCTCTTTTTGGTGTGAACGCAAAATTCCAGGAACTATCGGAACTAAACGGGGAAAAGTACGGGGAAAAGTACTCCGGTGTGAAAGCACCTCGAGTAAATTAACACAACCACATCATATCGATCAAACTACTGCTGAGTGACATGCAGGAGAAATGTAAATAATTGTTTAAAAAGCCAAGCTCCATACCAGGTTGCGATCTCTCTGTTGTCATCCTCCGGTGGGGCCTTAAGGATGTCTATGGCCACAGTGTGGCAAGGGTAGTCGGCAAAGGAAAACACTTCTGGGCTCATCAGAGAGTGCTGAATGAATGAGAGCTGAAAACAGAAAAAGCAATTGGAGATTTAAAGAGGGAATACAACCGTAACCACTCAAACAATACTGTCAACACAAGAACAATTTCCACTTTCCTTTATCATTGATCTTTATTGATCTACTTCTCTTTTTTACAGAAAAAAAATCAAACGTCAATCATGTTTCCCATCCCAATTTAAAACATGCCAATCCCAGGATCCGGATTTTGTTCAGTTACCTGTCCTTCTGCGTGTTTCCATGGTCGATAGATCAGATCAACAGGAAACGTCTCCATGCCCAACCCCCTCTGAATGCCGTACACCACGATATGCAGGCCTTTACTGTCCCGGATTATAAATCCTGCATGGTCCAGCTCGTAGGTCACCTCTTTGAAGTTAAGGTTAGGATTCTAGGGCACAGACAAAGGAAAAAAAAATTCAACCTCAGAAGGCTTTCTAAAATGACCTTTACATTAAAGAAAACGTCTTTTGACAGGCCATTGCATGCATTGACCCATTTAGTGGTGAAGAATTTGCAAGAATAAATGCACAGTGACACTGGGAAATGTTGGATATATTTGTCATCAAACGGAAACTGATGGTTCACTCACCACTTCCTTCACAACGTCGATGAGAACCTCCACATTCCACGTGTGTGCCTGCGAGCCTTCGTTCTTATCCTTGCCATCGCTCCAGATACCACTACCTGGAGCAGAGATGGACTGCAAGAGGAAACGGAAAATAATTGAAAATTTAACTATTAGTGTGCTTAGCATAATCCACAAGCCAGCACATTTACCAGCATGAACCCATATTTCACAATTATTTCGTCAATAAATCTCATTCATATTAAACATAAGCATTAACTTGGAAAGAATATAATTAAATAAATCTTACCTGTAGTGGGATACCATCAGTCAGGCCAGAGTGGGTACGAGCCATCATTCCCAGGACTCTGGCCACCTGGCTGGCTGTCACCTCTCTCACCCCATACTGGACGATTATGTTTCTGCACTCATCCAGACTGGAAACAAAAAGAAAAAGTCAGTACAAACGATTATCACTAGCTCTTGGCAGACAAACTTTTGTTCAAATCATGTTGCTAAAAACATTTGGTTGAAGATTTAACAACATACTGAAGAATTTAAACATAAATTCACCTAGCACAGAAGCCATAGCCGACTTCTTGCATGAATTCTGCGAGAGAACTCTCCATCATGGTCTTAGCTAACTCCCCCGAGTCTGGCAGGATCCTGTCCATGAGAATGTCCCGTTTTTCAGGGTACAGCAGTGGTGCGAGCACCACAGGGCAGCGCTCCTGGGGGAAATCTGAAATACAAGACACAGAAAACATTTTAGTATAGGACTTGTACCATTTCTATTCATTGTGTCACATATTCAATAAACTTAAGGCTCTGAAGAATACGTTTGCGTTGACACCCCGTACCTCGGCAGAGTGTCTTCAGGAAGGCGTCAATCTGCTCCTGCCCTAACCCACTGGCTCCTTTTTGGCCAAAGAGTAGATGGGACAGCAGTAAATGCAAGACCTCGATGGCAATGTCCTGAAAGCCACCTTCCTGGTTTCCTCCGAGATCGGCGTCAACGTATGACCGCAGGAGGTCGGGGAGTTTCTGCTTGATGAACTGCGCGGCTGTGGAAACGTTAAAAAAACAAGTAAAAAAAAACAAACAAAGACATGCTTTTATACAAATAATGAACCAACACAATTGTGTCTAGAGTGTTGTGGCCATCCATAAACCTTCCTGAGATCATTTAGGTCATTATGCCCATGCATAACCAATCTTTATCACAACTGAGCAATATTCCCTCCAAAAAAGGGAGGCCAAAATAAAAAAGGGGGCCAACTATTTTGGTAATGCAATTATTAATTAGCACACCTTTAAAACAAGGATTTTATATTTATTTTATCATCTTTGCTTTGGTCACTTACACATATTTGGCTTTTATAGACAGTCCATGTTTTCTTCATCTAAGGCTAGTTGTCAGTAGTGACTGACTTATTTGATTGGTTGAAACTCAAAACTTTAATTTATAATGACACCGAAATTGTTATCGCAAACCATTTGAGGATGCAACATCCCAACTGGATTTATCAGAGTTCAGCACCATTTTCTCAAGATGCCTTGTATTTGTGATCTACAAGTTCATTTATTGCTGGTTGGACAAAATAATCATACGTTGCCCATAGTAGAAAGACTGATATTATGTTAAACTGAATACCAGAAAACAGGCATGTGTAAAAGTTCCAAAGCTTATTGGTATTGGAAAAAAGGGATGTTTGCTGCCTTTCAAAATATCTTCTATGGTTTATTTCAAGACAATGCCAGCAGAAAGACTTGGCAATCCTAGTTTTTGTTTACTTTTTTTTAAGTCAGACTTATCTGCAGTATATCAAATGTTTTGATAACATTTAGTACTTTTTACAGTAAACATCACAGCTAGTTAAAAACAAAGTTTGGGATTATCTTTGGCTTTATTCGAGTTACTTACCAAAACCACGAAGGTCTGCGTTGCTGGAGTTGAGCAAAGCAAGTCCAAATATCACCTGAGAAATACATTAATTAAATCAACATTTGTATTTCAGATAGTCTTGGAGTCACTTGTGTTGACAGCCAATACTCCCTTTTCCCCAAATGTAAACCATGCATTGTTTGTACTTTGTCCAATTCATATTTTGTATTAATGAAGCCCATTGCAGGTCTGTCTTACCTCTTGGACTTTGCTGAGCTTAAGAACTTTACTCAGTTGAGTGAATAGGTGGGCCGATGGCTTCAAACTCTGAAAGAAAATACATTAATACATTTTCATTTTAATATGTATAAACCCCTGCAAATTGTCTGTACACTCATGCATTGATGTCTAAGTTAAAGCCCAAAGTGTCATTTTAAAGAGAGCATTTTTGTAGGGATGTAAAGTTAATAACTATGACAAACTGATTTGTAATTCAACCAATTGCAACATTTGACTCAATATGGTAGTAGTTGCTTTAAGTTGTATGTTTTAACTTAACATGTAACTCAGAATTAATCTATCAATAAGATCTGTCATACATCCGGGATACCGCAGTAATTATACAGACTTCTGCTCCTTACCTTCTGGTAATGAAGGGGATTGTCAACGGCGTAACACAGAGTAGCAATAACGTTTGGCTTCGATATCAGCGACACACACTCCTGGATCAGAAACTGTGTCTTGGGCAAGTTGAAAAGCGGAACGTATCGAGAAGAAGAGAGAAAAGAGAACAGAGGCAGGTGAAGAATAAGATAAGAAAGTATTTTAGATAAAACCAAGAGAAACAATTGGCAGTATGGAGTAAAATGTAACGTTAAGATTATAATGAATTCAAGATAAGGGGAAAAAACATTCTGTACATGAAAACATTTCTGAAATGAAAACTTCCAATTGACACAATGTGTTTCCATTTTGCTTTTCATATACAAACAATCAGAAGCAGAAAAATCCAAGAATTAAGAGCAACACAAATGTAATAACTGATGGCAGCAAAATGATCAATATCTCAGAGGTTCAAAGATTTCAGCGCAGAGATCATAGTTGGAGTAGTCCAGTGATTTATAAGCACATACACTTTAAGTTGACAGACTGGGCTACTCTGTTGTATCATAGTGAATAGGAAAATGTTTCACTTTGATAATTAAGGGGGAAAAACAGCTGACCAAATATATTTTCCTGGGTGGTACCTTGTTGTCCGTTTTAACTTAACTATATATATATATTATATATAATATACCATACATATATATATATATAATATATATATATATATACACATATAAATACATATATATATATTATAATATTATATATATATATATATATATACACATATAATACATACATATAATAGTAATATATTACTATATTATATAAGTATATTATATAACAACATATATATATATATATATTATACACACTATATATAATATACACATATAATATAACCATATTATATAATATATATATACTATATATTATATACACACATATATATATATATAACATATATAATATATATAACATATATAGTTATATATATATATATAATATATATATATACACATATATATATATATATCACATATATATAATATATTATAACACACATAATATATATATATAACATATATATATAATATATATTATATATATATACACACATATATATATATATATACCACATATATATAACACCACATATAATAATATAATATATTATATATATACATATATACACATATATATATACAACATATATATATATACAACATATATATATAAAAAAAAAAAAAAATACACATATAATATATATACACACATATTATATATACACGACATATATATAGTATTACACATATATACTAATATACACAGCATATATATATATAATATATACATATATATAATATACCCATATAAATAAATATACATATAATATATATATACNATGATGGGATAGTAGAGTAAAAGCTTTTCACTTCTGGGATCATTTGGGTGGATTTGACCCAGCGTATCCGCCAGGGGACCGTCTTGCCGTCATTTGACGCCCTTGCGTCAAATGACGGCAAGACGGTCCCCTGGCGGATACGCTGGGTCAAATCCACCCAAATGATCCCAGAAGTGAAAAGCTTTTACTCTACTATCCCATCATTCAAGTTATTATTATTTTTTTTTGTACCGACACAATAATTTAAATGTATTTACTATGTTCAATCTGAATTTACTTTAAAATAAAAAAAATCTATATTGATTCGGACTCTTCTACATCCAACTCACAGGTTTATCATTGCTTTGAGAAAAAAGATGATTAATTTACCCCTTTTTAGAAGTAAAGTTATGGTCATTTGTTCTGGGAATGTCATTTTTGAGCCTGAGACCAGGAAAACAGGCTCGGGGCTTAACAGGATGCTTTCTAGAATATTTTTCCTCAATATACTTGAATCAGCTACAAAAGCCTTTGGTTAAATAATTGCCTTGACCTCAACTGTAATCACTGAGTTGTATACAAAAAGAGACATAAAGAATGGACAGACAATTCAATTCATTTGAGCATATTTACTGGAAATAATGAGGATGCCTTTTAAATTGGAAATGTTGGTACAATAGTGCTCAAGCCCGCGGCTATTACAGCGTCTGTCGAGAGAAAACCTAGACACCACTATCATTGTGCTGCCTCTGTAGTCTCTCAGCTCATTATGATTCAAATAGAAACACCAACCACCTCAGATGCTAATGTTAGCCCACATGTCAGCCAAACACGTGATTATCCTTGTTTCCCTGCTTTGTGGACACAGCTGACCCCTCTAAGGCAGATTTCCTAACGTCTAGGGATGGTGGGAGGGAGGAATGTGTGCAGCATCCATATTTTGTCAGCTCTCCGAGTCAGGTGTTTAGCTCTCCACTTTACCTCCAGTTTTTTTACTTTCCCCCCATCTGTACCTCGTGCTCCGTGTGGCAGTCTGTGGCGTTTCGGAACAGGTTAATGGACTTCTAACCCCTCATCACTGATTAGCAAGATTAATCAGACAGCGGAGGCACTCCACAATTCCCCTCCCCTCCGCTCTCCCCAGCTCACTGGCTCTCTATTCCTGCCAGATGGTATCAATGCAAAGCTGAGAGCAGAGGAAAATCAAAGGTAGGGCTTCAGAAGCTTGAAAACCAAGAAAGCACAGCAGTTATCTCCCGCTGTTCAGATGACACATTTACAGGCGTCATGTTCTCTATGGAGAATAACCCCAGGAGAGAGTGCAAATGAGAAAACACTTCACCACACTGCTTGGGTCACAACTTTTATAGCTACTGTGTTTTACATTACACATTTATTGAGATGAAAGCACTGAATGCAGCTGGATATGATGACTACATCATCGAATAACGTCATAAATGACTAGTTTCATTTTAGCAAAATGGCCTATAAATGGTCTGAATTGCAGAATAAGTGATTGCAAATTCAAAATTGAGACAGTTCAAAGTATTGAATACATTAAGTAATAATACTTTTTAAGGAATAGTTTTAGAGTCTTAAACATCTTGTCTTTCTTTGAAGCCATAACAAAGTTAGCTGAGCTTAGCATTATGACTGGAAATGGACTGAAACAGCTAATCTTGCTCTGTTGTATTGTAAGATAATACCAGAACCAGCACCACTAAATCGTTATTACCACATTATATGTGTAGGACTGCTTTATAAATGTGCCGCTCGGTGGATATTCTTTTACCTTTGGACAGACCCAGCATCTCCTTAATGCTAAGCTAAGCTAACCACCTGCTGGGTAAAGCAACACGTTTACAATATAGATGATGGAAGAGCCCTGTTGTTCTAAATCATGTCAGGAAAAAGGAAATATAGTATTTGTCAAACTCATTTGAGATTTCGTCCACACAACAACATGGTAGTAAAATGAAATTTTTACCCTGATGATGTTGTGAAAATGAATAGAAAAAAATATCACCCTTAGCTCTTAATTTTACATCTCACTGACTCTTCTGAAATAAAGATCTGCTCACGTTAAGTGGAGAAAATGAAAATTGTCTTATATTTTAGACATATTTAATGAACACAAGCATGGATTACTAACCTCTGTTTCGTAACGTAAAGGCACAGCAGGTTGCATTAGCAGGAACTTAATTGTATTTCCACTGTAGAGAGGAATCAATACACAGGGAGACGTCCATCAATAACCTACGAATAGTAAAAATCTAAGTAGATGCATTCATGTGAATCCCTTATGCATCTATATGTTATTAGTAATGACAGACTCCACCAGTGGCAATTAAAAACAAACTATAGAAATGTAATAACTGAATGCTGCAGATGGTTCAAGAAATACAAATAATTGAAAAATAAAAAAGTCCTTGTTGAAAACACTGGAGACACAAAGTCATTCTGCTGAGAATACTTGCACAGAAACAGCGAGGCGACCTGCACGATTATATCCAAGAATCCTTTATTAGTTCAATCACGGAAATGGCACGCACACGTACAAAGCCCTGAAAAAATTCCAAAGCCCTCAGTCAGTGTCATTAGTTGGAAATGTCAAGGTAAGCCGAACATCTGAGAGGTGAGAATTGCAGGGCTGGTGTTGGCCTCTAGAGAAAAAAGACTGCAAGACATATCTGTGTGCTCCCCCCCCCTCCCCCCATTCACTTCCTCTCTGGTTGTGGCAATAACTGTGATGAATCAACAGAGACATGGCAGTCTGCCAGGGTGTTTTTATCTGAGAGCGAAGTGTTGATGAAAGACTGTGCCAGGTATTTTTAATTTTCGCCTATAACACATTGGCGACGTGTTTTTGAAGAAAGCAGATTATACGTTTCAATAAGTGTCTGCCATTTGGAACTGCTGCAGATAAACTCTTAGAAATAACACATTGACTCCAGGCCTTTCTGTGTTCCCAAACTTTAAATGCATGATTTAATCCAGCGTCAAATTTGCTCGATTCTGTTTTGTCTGAGTTTTCGGGGAGCACTGATTAAACAGAGCACAGGGAAATGAAAAAAATGACGTTCAGCTGCATCTCTGTCAGACCTCCACCAGAGTCCCACGAGTCTTCTCATTTCAGATTCAAACACACACTAATTAGAGGCCGTTTTGTTGAGGGTAGCCTTTATTTAAATCGGATCAAAGTACAGTTTGTAGCCTTTGGAGATGTAGCATCCATGTATTTTCTTTTGTTTGGTTTATTTAGATTTTCCACAGAAGTCAACATAGAAGTTTTGGGAACCCACACAGTGAGTCATTTTCTTTATCTCCCCTTAAGCCTCACTTTAAAATTCAAAGTACACCTTGAAAGAGAGGCTATCAGAAGAAGTAGAGAGTGTTGGATAACCTTTATTGAAGTGCATGTAGTTTTTATTGTATTTTTTATGAATCACTGCAGTTGGTTGGTGCCAGCTGGTAGATGATGATCTCAGTAACCAGGACAAATCTGTATCTGATGGGTTTTAAGAAATATACTGGATTAAGACTGGTATTAAAATGAAAAAGAACCATAAATTCCCTTTCAATCTCTATCAGATTTCAAAGGTGCATTCATGATGTTCACACCTGCCACTCTACTATTTATCATCCCCTGAACAATGTCATTCAGATTAGACTTCACTGCAAAAAGCAATTTGAAATGAATCTCAGATGAAGATAACTCATTGAAAATTCTCCCCTAATCCTATTTGCCATTCGGGTTTTAAATTGGGTATCAATGGGATGACTAGTGGTTCCCAACCTTCTTAGGTTTAAACTCCTATCAGCTGATCTCAGGTTCCCTTCATTGACACCAAAATGTCACATTATTGTATTTGTGGATTATAATATATATAATCTGGATGTTATATTTAAGCAATAGCTCACGACAGGCCGTGGTATATAGTTATTATATCACAGTTAAGGGGCGTGGTTCGGCCCAACAAACTAATTAAAATAGTTTATTAGAAAATAATGATGTTCAAAATAAAATAGTCCCTCCGTTGCCTTCTGCACAAAACATAGTGTGAGGTGGTTGCTATGCAACAATACTAACAGCTAGCGAACATATTAGACAGAGAGCGTTGATCGATTATTTGGCCATTTATTTACATTCATTTGTATGTTGCCGTTTATCGTGCACCCACTGAAAATCTGTCCAGCCTCAGTAGAATGGCTTACGTGGTCACTTGTATAGGTTGAGGTTGTTCTAGGCTGTTGCTTGGCGTGGCGAGAATATTGCTCCACTTTCTCCGGTCCCCGAGATTCGGTTTCCAGTAGCTCTGGAGAGAGCTTTCGCACCTGTGGCCACAAACGGTCATAATTTCTCTGCTTTGTTTCAAGACCCGCATCAGAAAGCTTTTGAATGGTGGTACTTTTCTAGTTGGTCTACCTGCTCTTCACGTAGCTCTGCATGTCGTCATTTAGGTGCATTTTTTTCTGGAGATAGGCACTCCTCATTCCACTCCTCCGTAGTAAGAACACCCCGGAGGTCGAAGTTAAAGGGGACCTATCATGCAAAATGCACTTTTGTACGACTGCCAAGGCACAC